GGTGTATTACCGAGGGAGTACAACCAGGCACCTTGTCTGTTTATATGGAAGTTGACTGTTATCTTACGTATATATATACCGCCCTGCATAAGGGTGTGATTGGAATCACGTGTAGACCTCATTTTAGATATGTCGCCAGAACATGATTGCATACTTGCTCGTCTCCAATGTCGCCTCCGAATGTGAAACCCAAAGTTCCCATTTGAAGACAGTTTATACGACGACTGAGTTGTAAACACTGTGCTAGCAGTAGACGTAAACTGTTTACTGAAATGTTGCACGATCAGCTACACGCCCATGTCCGTTGTAACTGCAAAGATGCGCTCATATGCTTAAGCCTGTCTTTGAATGTTTCGCTGCTTTGACTGCGCCGAAAATGCAATGCTAGTTTTCGTGAACCATGAGCATGCTTCAAATCTGATCAGATGGGTTATTTGTCTCCGACCCAGTGAGTCTGTGGTAGTTAATTCTCACCTTGGAGATAATTACCCCAACTGCTTAGGAAATTTAAGGCATTTCGGCGTGTGAATGACGGACATTAACTTTAACAAGGTAGACAATTAGACAACTATCGACCAGCAGATGTCGAATTCATACTATAGTTCGGTTAATTTCAATTAATTCAGGGAACTGTAGGCAAATGACATTGAACTGCTTATCGTTTAGAATAATTGAGCCAAATAGAAACGTCGATATATACAGGGTGTCCCAAAAAATGTATACACATTTTACCTATTTGTAAACTTGGTGTTAATAATAATTTTATTATTAAATAAATGTACAGATATTTACAAGTACCATTTTACTGTTACTTTCCCTTAATTTTCTCAAACTGACGTCCATTTTGATCATGACATTGCTAACAACGCGAAGCAGTGGAATCGCACATACCATGAGACAATTTCATTGGTATTCGGGTGCATTCATGTTCGGTAGCCTTTCTCAATTCAGCCACTGTTGCAGTAGTCAAAATGCAGTGAAAAAACGATAAAATAATACTTTTGAATATGTTAACGTTTTTTAAATAACAAAATTATAATAAACATCAAATTTACGATTACTTAAAATGTGTATACATTTTTTGGGACACCCTGTTCATTGCATTTGGAAGAAATTATTAAAACATGCTACTGCAAATAGTGAGTAGTAGGTGTATTACGTAGATCGTTCCGTTAGGATTATACAAGAAAATATGTGTGCTAGTTTCTGATAGCGTCCTCCGTGCGGATTACGTGTCAAAGCCTTATGTCATCAGCAAACAAAGTAAATCGGGGTCAAACCCAGTTATGCAGCCAACAAGGAAGAGCATACGTTCAAGAACGGAGACTTATGGAACCCCACTCTCAACTGCCACATCTTACTTACTTGTACTTACTTGTAACGGCATTCACCTCGGGCGGGTTGAG